GTCTAATTTCCTAGGTATGAGAGTTTACTTTTGGAATGTGAGGTTTTCTGGTGAATGTGAAGGCTTGGACAGCTTCAATGAATCATATGTGATATATTTGAGGTGTTGGTTCAAGTGTTTGGTGGTTGTATTGAGTTGTGGCAGAGTTTTTGCAAGGCATAATTTTCTTCATAAGGAAGCAACTTCTACCACTTACAAGAAGATGGTTATCAGAGAAATGAGAGAGATTCAACTTGGTTTCTATTTGATTCTGGTGTAGTTTAGATGTTAGGAGTGTGTTCTATTTATAAGCAAGCTTGGAGAATGAGAGGTATGGGCAGATTGTGCCAACTTGTCAAGTTTGCCCTTTTTGGAGGCAAAATGAGCAAATCCAACTTGGGATTTCTTTTATGAGCATGATCAACCTTCCTATGTGTTTCAACATCACCAATAGCCTGAAAATAGTTGAAATAAAGTGAAGTAAAGAGAGTAGTTGATGCAATATCTGGGGTGTAGCAGAAAATGCAAAAAGTTTCTCTCTCCTTGCCACTTGCATCCACTTGAATGAAAAAATCAAATAATTCAATCTCTGGTTTTTGCTCGTGGTAATCTATTGTAATCTCATCAATTAAGTCCTTAAACATTAGAGAATGAGTTAAACAAGTGATTAGAAGAGGTTTGAGTGGTTTATGCATCAAAATGCAAGTGCTGAACTTGGTTTTGTGACATAAAAAATCCCTAACTTACTCTCTCTGATTCTCCCTAACTACAAAGGCTGTGAAAATGCTCTTGTACTTTTTTAAAAAGCCTGAAATATGATCTACAATGTTCATGTTTGTCCAAAGTACAGATTCCAAAGGGAACTAGGTCAATAATCTTCATGAAGTTGGCTACAAAACTTGACTTACAAGTCAAAAAACAAGAAATTTTTCGAAGTGTGAAAATCATTCACAACTGATGAGCTCATAACTCAAAATCTATGCAATTTTGGACATCAAGCCTCTAGTACACTTTTGTAAGATTTCTCAAGAGCTTTCCAACCAGATTTGGACCACTCAATTTGAATGTGTAGTTTGAGAGTTATGACCATTTCAAATGAGCTTGTAATTAGGGTTTTTCATAAACCCTAATTTCTTGATTCACAAGTTATCCATCAATTCTTGATTAAATCTTCACCAAACTCACTAGTTAGGCATAACATGATGTTGGAAACCTTGATTGCTTCAATTTGGGGTCAAAACCTTAAAAGTCAAACAGTTAACTTTCCAGACAGACGAACCAAATAGTTGAAACCTTCAGGATCGATCCTTAGTGTTATGGGTTTTTTTAACCTTTCATACTTCTTGAGGGGACTTAAATAAGTCATAAACATCATGGACCATGGTTGAATCTTTGGAAACCCATTTAGACCAAAAGTCAAACTACAATTGACTTTTCAACTAGAAACCCTAATCAGAGTTTTGCACAGCACTGCTTCAATTCTCTTGGTAACAGCCTCAAATAGCACTTGTTCTTGGTAAGATATGAACCTCTTGATGATGTGAAGACTTGATATGTAGAAGATCAATCCAAAACCTTGACTGATCAATCCACAGGATTCTTGATTTTAATAGTGTGAAACTGTAACTCATCTGCATCTTGACAAAGGCTAACTTGAAAGAGGTTAGGGTTAGATAACATATGTTTGATGCGCCTAGAATGATAATGAAATCTAGGGGTCAAAATTTGGGGTATGACACATAGCGCCTGATACTCTTGAGAAATCTTCTAAATATGACAGACACGAATAACAAGAAAATCACTCGATCCCACATTTTAGAAGACCGATGCAATGCATGATTATGAGTTATGATCTAATAGAAAATACAAATGAACGCGAAACAAAAGGCAAAAAAGTTAGAAAAAGTGAGAGAAAATTTTGGGGTGCAACAAAATTCAAAAGGGAAACTCGTTTCCCTCTCTTGTAAATTTGCTTACCTTTATGGTAAACATGTTTACCTAGTTCATTTTTCAAAATTTCTATACGTTAGAAACGGAGAAATATGTTTCCTTAAAAGATAAACATGTTTCCTCATGCACTTTGTGAAAAATTCTGAATAGTTTTTTACACCTCTTCATTGCACATTTTCATTACACCTTTTCCAAATCAATTTCAATTGATCATGAATATTTTTTAAAGGTTATCATTATTTCTAGAGAATTTTCATCTTTCAAATTCACCTCTTTCAATCTAATTTCCATAACAATTCTTCTACATAACTTTGAAATTTGTTAGAAACGTTTCTACATAAAACTTTCATATCATATAAGAGTTTCTTGAGCACTTAGTGGTCATTTATTATGAATTGTTATATTGAAAGGGAATAAATTCACATTGGAATTTTGTTTCACTCATACTTATTCAAATTTCTGTTTTATCAAAAATCAGATACTTGTAAAAATTTCTTGTTTTCCATGATTGTTGGAAGCAAGAGAGTGATTAAGGGAGGATTGTTCTCTTAATGCACTTAGTGTAAAATCCAAGAAGATTGTTCTTGGTGTGCTTGTTAGAGTTTGTATAGAAAGACTAGATAGTTTTATCATAAGATCTAACATTATTAAAAATCTCTTTCATGTTGAAAGGGAACTGGAGTACTCTCGAACTGTGGGGGAAACCAGGATATATCCTTGTGTCGTTTACTTTCCGCACTTTATCGCTTTCGTAACTTAGTAATTAATCAGGAAAGAAATCACAACATAAGATAAAAACCGGAAAAATTTTAGTACGTAATTCACCCCCTTCTTAGGCACACTTAGTACTTACAGATCCCTCTTACTATCTCAAAGCAAATACATCAGAGATCTATTAACTAGAACTCATATGCTAGCAGCCAAGAGTATTGCTTCCCCTATGGCTTCTAATACAAAATTATCTAAAGTCGGCTCAGCTCAAGTTAATGACCCTACTTATTTCAAGTCTGTGATGGGGGCTCTGCAATATGCCACTATAACCAAACCTGAAATTTCCTATGTTATCAACAAGGTTTACCAATTTCTATCTAATCCTTTATAAGATCATTGGAAGGCAGACAAGAGAATTTTAAAATATCTACAGAGTACTTCCAATCATGGTCTCTTACTTACATCAGCTAACCTAAGTGCTCTCATCACCATCACAGGGTTATGTGATGCAGACAGGGCATCAGACCCTAATGAAAGAAGATCTACTTCTGGGGCCTGCATCTTCCTAGAGCCAAACCTTGTATCTTGATGGGTTAAGAAGCAAACTTTGGTAGCTAGATTCAGTGTTGAAGCAGAATACAAAAGCCTAGCACATGTCACAACCGAGATTTTGTGGCTTTAATCTCTTCTTCTTGAACTCCAATTCAGGCATCAAGTTCCTAGAATTCTTTGTAACAGTCTTAGTGTTGTCTTACTAGCTCACAATCAAGCCCTACACTCTAGAACTAAGCACATGGAGTTAGATATATTCTTTGTCAATTATTCGTTGTCACACACAGGTCAAAAATGAGTAATTAAAACCATAGTTAGGGAAGCAACACTTGAACGTCATATCATAAAGACTCTTGTATTGGATTTTACCAACTAAAAGAACAACAGAGGTTTAGGTTCGAACAAGCAAATGACAACAAATAATTGATTCAGAATAAGCTAAAACGGCTAATCCTACTGATTTAGATTCCGACTTATCACTGGCTATTATAATTCCAATCTCCAAAGCGGATTATGTATTCTTATTCGATTACAAAACTCACTGACAAGCACAACTGGTATTGTGTGATGTAAGTTCCTATTATCCAAATTAAGCTCTCGCAAATTAAGCAAACACGACTTAATCAAACACGATAGCGTAAAAGTTACGCTAACGTGAATATAGTTAAGGATCATACACAGTCGAATTAAATCAGCATACTTTGAAAATTTTATTAAGCATGTAAGAATCACATAATAAAATTGAAAGGAATAGAATTTGGATTGAGATTAGTATAACCTAAAAGCAGTGGAACCCGTACATCATTAGAATTCGCCTTAGGAGTTAGTTCTCCATGAAAATTACAAAACAAAGCTAAAATCGTGAATAGTAGGATCATGAACAGTAGCATGGCTACTTTAAGTTAAAGGAGACAAGGATTTGGGTTCTCGTTCAAACCGGGTCGAAAAACATAAAAAAATCAGCCCAAAACTAATTATTTTCTAAAGTCTGAAACTAAAATGATTTATTCGAATCTTCTATATTCTGAATCTGCTTCTAACTTTAACATGAAACTTTTAGTTAACCCTCTCAACTTTCCAACACCTATTAGAACTCGTCAATCTGATTCTCATAGCTAGAGTTATGATCTATTCAATGAGAAGGTATCAAATAAATGTTTAAGATGAAAATTAAATACGAAATTAAAATATGGTAAATGTAAACTAAGGTTTTTGTTTCTTAAAGACAAACTTAGAGTTGTTGACAAGATATAACTTGATCAACCTCCCTAAATTTGAGGGGGGAATATTAGAGTGTAAGTGAATGATCATCCTAGAGTAACGAAATCAGTTAGGATGAATATTTGAGTGTAATGTTAATGCTTTGGTTGAATGAATGAGATTGAGTGTAATGTTAATGCTTTGGTTGAATGAATGAATGCAATTGAGTTATGATTTAGTTCCAACATTGTAATAATATGTGATTCAGAATCATTGTGATATAAATGTTCAACTGTTGCGAGTGCAACTATTGGTGCAAGCAGAAAATAAAAACATAACAATTTTAAACCAAATACTTCCTTTAGGGACAAAATTGATATCGTTATCTAACTAACTGTCAATAATTTCAAGACATTGATTGAATATACAAGTCTAAGAATCCAGATACCTGAAGCTACATGTGTTTCTAGTTAATCATGGGAGGGACAATCTTGAGTATTAAAAACAACAAATTAAATAGGCGGGTCATCAAAATTATGTTCCGAAAAAAGTATTTTAACTTGTTTGAAATCAATCACTTACGGGATCGGCCCATTTTGCAGCAATGGCTACTGCAATTTTTTTCTCTGTTCAGGGGACTTGGGTGCTCTTCTGCTTGATGGTTCCCTCGGCATTAGTTTCCTTTGTTCAACAATCACCAACCACTCCTGCTTAAGCTGATCATCCAACGTTTCATAGGAATTCCATTGCAGCTCTTCTTGACCAATAAAGCCTTGCCTAGATGCTTCGGCAATTAAATTTTGCCACTCGGAGCAGCAAGTCTCTTGTACCATCTTCATTACACGCTTCTTTTCCCATGCCTGTCTTATTCCAGCAGCAATCTTTAATCTTGTTTCTGTACTGTGTAAATGAATAAAGAAGGAGATTGTATGAGGTAAAAGGAATAATAAAGAAAGAAGCAGCATTTAAGTAACAATGTATTGATGGAAAGTCATGTAATTACTTTTGTGCATGTGGATGATTAATTAACTTTATTTTGACCTGCATTGCATTACACTAAGGAATTAGTTAGGAAGAAGAAAAGAATTGGAAACTTAGAAAGAAAGAAAAGAACAATTTTATTGAATACTGAGAATAGGAGAGAAGTTTCTCTTCCAAGCTCCAAGGGTTTTCCCCATCCCTAAATCTCACTAAGTCGGACTAGCGAAGGTAAAATTGGAAATGATTATGATGAAGACAACAATATGCTTACATGACATCACCTTAGGATTCTTCATTGCAATGCGTGTTCGTTCCTTGATCTTCTGCAAAGTTTCTGGTGATGAAAGAAAAAGAAGAGAGTTAAGAATTGAATATAATAAATAGAGACAAGTGAGAGAGAAAGAGAAAAAACAGTTAGTTACCGGGTCGATGCTTTATTCCTTTGTTCCATGCAGATCTTCCTTTATTAGCTTTAGAAATCTTGGATCTTCTCAACTTCTCCTTCTCATCAACTGGTTGTTCAGGTTGGTGATTGTGAGCAGCAATCTCGGTGTCGTTAGATTTAGGTTCAACAATGGTGGCGGCAATCTCGGTGTCGTTAGATTTAGGTTGAACAATGGTGGCGGTAACGGCTTTAATGAGGAACGGCAACCTAGGGCGTGGAACATTGAAGTTGCGTTTACTGAATATATTCCAATTCAAGTGTTTGACATGATAGTAATATGGCAACGGTGCCCTCAGTAAATGTGCATTTGTTATCTCTGCTAACACTTCATTTCAAAAAAAATCAAAATCTGATATGCATAATTATGAGACAGAATGATATAATAAATTAATTAAAGGAGGATATAAGGGTTTAGTAAAAAAAATAGAATTGAATAGAGAGAAATTTACCAATCAAAGGCATGAAGAGAATGAAATTAAAAAAACGAAGCAGAAAGCAGCAGCATCTGAGAATATATGAATGAATGAATTTTGGTAATGGTGGGATAGGAGGCGGAAGCCAGAACACAGAAAAAGGATAACGTTGTGAATTGTGAATGAAATACAATCACTATCTTTCTACTTTTCTATTCACTTCACTCATGGGCCTCTAACTACTCTTCTTTCTTTCATCACCGCTACCTTTACTAATACACCTTTATACTCTCTTAACATTTTTTTTAAATAATAAATTTATCATGCATTTTCATTTATTAATAATTTTATCTTTAATATCAATTTTAAGCTTCTTTTTTTTAATTTAAAAATAACAAAATCTGCATTGTTTCTAATCTATTAATTATGTCGATTATATGGTAACTTTTGAGTTTTGATTAAACAAATATTCTATTTCATTAATATATATATATATATTAATTATACATTCATTTATTAAATAAATAAACCAAAGTCACCAAAGTTACAGTATAGGAAAGTCACCGAAGCCAATTCCCAAAATTTTAGGGTTTGCGCTTCAAATCATTATCTTCTTTCTCTCCCTGTGCTCTCTGATCTCCATTCTTCACCATGAGCAGGTCAGGCCAGCCTCCGGATTTGAAGAAGTAAGCCTTCTTCTCCTTTTCACTTCAATTTTCATCATTACAATTTTTTGATCGATATTAATGCATTTTTTGTGGCAGATACATGGACAAACAGCTTCAAAGTAAGTATTGTTATCTTCTTTCTTTGCCGTCAAATTCGATTACAAAAGTTTATAAACTTGCGATGCAATTAGGGTTTTGAATTTGGTGTTTGTTAGCTGAAAACATGTTTTATTATTTATGTTGCAGTCAAGCTGAATGCAAATCGTATGATTGTTGGTACTCTCCGTGGCTTTGATCAGTTTATGAATTTGGTTGTTGACAATACCGTTGAGGTCAATGGCAATGACAAAAATGAGATAGGGATGGTGGTAAGTGCATTATCAATTTTATATTAGCAGCTTATAGAAATTGAACATTGTTAATTTCACTCCCGTTCCGCAGGTAATCCGTGGAAATAGCGTGGTAACTGTGGAGGCACTTGAACCTGTAAACAGGAGCATCTGATTTCTGTTTCTCATAAACATTTATAACTAAATTGTAAGGTTTTGAGTTTCAACAGAAACTGTGATATCCCTGGGATCTTAATATGCTCATGCTACCGGCTAATCTGAGGTTATGTTTCTGGTTGAATTTCAGCCCATGATTTGTCTTTTTAGTTGAATTCATAGTTTTCTGTTGCATATAGCATAAGAAATTCTCACTTTCTTTCTTTGCTTTTTAATCTAAACTGTAGTTTATTACAGCTTACACTTAATGTTGTTGACTAATGTCACAACCTGCTTTAAGTTTTGCTTTAATACTTCCAGAACCTAGTAACTTTCTATATGTATCAAGATGAAGTATGTGTTATTTTGTTTATATTTAATTTCATTTGGTAAAGATCATTTCTTCTCCAATGAATGGTATTAATATTATTTTAGAATAATTTTTCTTTTAAATGGATCATTCATTTGAGATGAAGTGAATGATTTTTTTCGTGATATCAAATTCTTTCAAACACCCTGTTATGACCATAACAAGTGAGAGCGAAGAAAAGTTTGTGAATAGGTTCTTTTAGGGGACCAGTATTGTAGCTAATTGCAATTTTTCCTTTGTTGTTACTTGAGCAATGTGCTTTTCTTCATGCCCTTTTTCCCCTCTTAAATGGTGGATGCGTTTGGTTTGAATTGTTATATCTCCAAGCTAATCAGAAAATATTAGTCTGTTAATTAAGTTTAACTTTAATTTCTTATAGCAATAATATTTCATTCTTTAATCTGTGTGCAAAAGTCATAAATGTTATTTTGAAATGGAAGTAGTGTTGTTTGTGGGAAACTTTTAAAAAGTTTATTTGAATCTCCATTAAAAAAATTTAGGAATTAAATTTGGTTCTAGTACTAAAAAAAGGTTTCGATAAATAAAATAAAATTAAAAGGGAATTTTATAGGAACAAATACATAATTACTCTCTCAAGTTTGAACTATGAGCAAAATCTTTTTGTTCAATTGTCTTTTATATAAAAGTTCAAACTTAATAATGTAATGGAATAATCATCATTCTTTGTTGACACAACTCGAGTGGCTTTTGGTGCATTTGATGATGAGAGACTGACTCGTTTTAGCACAAGGTTTGTGGTGCATTTATCTACTATTAAGTTTAGTTTTCTTAATTTCAATTAAAGAGTATGTTGAGTTCTCAATCTTTTACGGGGTTGTTTTCATTTGGAGGCAAACCAACAGTGTGGCTCATTCCATAGTCCTCCCTCATGTATCAATTATATGAAATGAGTTGAATTTGTTTTTTTAAGATGAAAATTCATTCACCTTATTCATTTTTCAATGACCTTTCAAAAGTTTAATTTTAACTTTGTCAAAGAACCTAAATCAAGTGTTAAGACCTATAAATTCTTGCAAATTGTTGAATAATCTATCAACAACATTAAGTGCGATCGGAGATGATTTTGTGAATTTATGTGCGTGCAGGTACAACTATTTGCAATCTTCATATGGTCATTATCCAACAGCTCTAAGAAGTTGGAAGTGGTGTTCGGAGATGATTTTGGGAATTTATGTGCGTCCAGATACAACTATTTGCAATCTTCATATGTATACTATTGTTTTGACAATGCAACATTATATGTCAAACAATATGATGTGAAGTATTCATCTATCAAGATGAAGCATTGATCAAGATATTCTATTGAGATGCTTCTATGAGTTCAAGTCAAAATTAATAATATAGGGGCATACGATTAATTTTAGCTTCCAAATCGCATATGAGGGTTTGCGTTGGAAGAATCAAAAGTTTGTGGATTTAAAGCAGAAGACTCGTATTATCAACATACAAAAAGAGAAAAAGAGAGAAAGAACGATATCACTACAAATAAGAAGAATAATAGTCAAATCAGAGACATGTAGAATGCTTACACTAAAAGGATTGTGTCAAGTAGGATGAATCAGCATTTCCTCTATGACATTGAAGACAGACATCAGGTTAATAAAGTCTCTTATCATAGTGTGTAAGGGAAGATCTAAGCCCTAAATAAGGGACAGACGACCCAGATAAATAATATTCACAATTTGAACAACATGCAAAAGAAAAAGTTGAGCAAATCAATAACATGCTTAACAATAGCATAACGAAATTCTTCTCTAAAAACAATAATCATCTTTATAGCCATGATGCAAAAAATAATCACAACGAGGAAAACTCATATGAAAACAATCAGAATCAACATGTGAATTGGAACAAAGTTAGACATGAAGATTGGAAGAGCAAAGAGACCATGAGTAGCGATCAAAACAAAATATCACAAAATATCTACCCTGAAATTTAACTAGATTCCTCTTAAGAAAGGTGGGTCATGTAAGATCTAGTTTTAGAGGTCTGCTGCAAAACATGAACAAGAAGAACGGTACGATAAAAGTTGCACAAAATAAATTCCAAAGCATGTGTTTACACTAAGCTTTAGGTTCGATTCGCCCCCACCAATTTAGACAAATTGGATGCAAATGGGTTAACTGACGAATCCCCTACAGGATACTTTGAAAATCTTAACATGAATCACATATTCACATCATATCGATCAACAATATTTTACAGAATAAAATTTCATTATTTATTCTTGTACATTAGAAAATTAAAAGAATGATTTAGATATAATTTTTTGACACTTGAAATAAGTAATTTTTGTGTCTATTTTATGCTTGTCGCAATGAGAATTAGATATCAAGCTATTGATTAACTTGAATCACAAATCATTAGTTTACCACCGATCTTTAATGTATCCGAGGGAGGGGAAAAAGAACGAATAACGCATAAGCATGCAATGCAAAAACAAAGCAAAAGAGAATTTAATGTTCGGGGTTGGTTATACCTAGGGAATGTGATAGCATCCTAAATATTTGTAGTACTCTACAAGAACCTTTTGCTTTATTGTGTTATTTGTTATTTTGTCTGCTAAGGGTGAAAAGGAAAAAGGGAGACCTAAGGTGTTATTTTTAAGTACACTCTCTCAGACATCCCATCTCGTGCCTACGTATCCTGACGGGAATGGAATTAGAGCATTCGTAGTTTATTGGTTGGTTTTAGGAGAAAAGACAAGTTGTCATATTAAGGAGAATACTCAATTTAAACCACCACTTACATGTGGAAGACGAATCTTTACTTCGCATTAGGAGAAGGGCTCCAACTCGGATATAGAATTGACGAGTATGTCACATACCTCTCTCAAGTGGAAAGGATTCAACATCTTTCTCAACTATGTCATGGGGTAGGAGAATACATCTCAACTAACGATGAATAGTGTCTAATTTTCTCATGAGAAAAAGAGAATTAATCGTAAGTTATCTATAGTTGAAATGGTTATCCTAAGGGAGACTTTCTAAGGGATAGCAAGTTCTAGGATTACAAGAAGTATATACAAGAAGATACAAAATGCAAATAAAAATATAAATGATAAGAGTGTCAAAAACAAGGGATCCTCCTTTGGAATCAGGTAGTAAGAAATTATTAATTAACTTAGATATAAATATTTATATCAAATAATAATTATGACACAAATTTATTTACATTTTAATATAATTCAAATTAACTAATGAAAAAAAATAGAAATAAAAATACTAAAATAAATAATTAAAATATTTTTGGTATTTTCATCCTTATAAAAGTAATTAAAAAAAATTACATCTTTCTATGATAAAATAAAGCAATTAAAATATGTATTTTTTTAGTCTTTTTAATATTACAAAATTAACTAATAAACTAAAAATAAGAAAATCTTTTTGGTCTTTTCTAACATTATATAAATAACAAAAAATAAAAGTGATTAATAAAAGTGACTAAGAATAATGATAACCGATGTCCAAAAATCAATTAAATTTGCTTCTTTCTAATTTTCTTT